TTTGTTTTCTCTGTAGAAATTTCCTACCTCCGGACACAGATTGCTAACTTATACGCATTAGCTTTCCTATATAGACTGTTTTTGTCACGAATCAATTGGTTTTTTTTTTGTTTGTTTGTACAATTTCAAGGAAAACATTATTTAAATGTGAATGTTTGAATGAGTAATTTGCAAGTCTTTCTTGGTAACAGTTTGCATTGCAATGCATAATTTAGAAATCTCATAAAATTTTCAAGTATATTAATTAAGAATTGGGTGCTTCTTTTGTAATTTTATTGGGGTGCAAAAGCGTTGACCGAAGCAAATTTGTATGAAGCGATTCCACTTAAAATATGCGCACGATCAACGCTTTTACAATCCTATAAACATACGAAAAAAAAGCATTTAATTCTTAAAATTTCATTTATGTGCTACAACCAAGAAACAACGAGTTACACTAAACTTTTCGTTTGTCTTCCAATGCAGTGTTGTGACGTTGGCATGGGAAGCACGTGTAGTCATTATGCCACATGTGGAGCAGGATCTTCCAGAGCACCTGAGATCACCCCCAGTTTTTGGTGGGGTTCGTGTTGCTTAGTCTTTAGTTTTCTATGTTGTGTCATCTGTACTATTATTTGTCTGTTTGTCTTTTTATTTTTGGCCATGGCGATGTCAGTTTGTTTTCAATCTATGAGTTTGACTGTCCCTCTGGTATCTTTCATACCTCTTTTTTTGAGAAATGAATTATAATTTTGAAATGCCTCACGATTGTTGTCGGTCAATAAAAAGTCAAAATTCGTACGAAACATGCATGTTATGTAATTATTATGTAATTATTGAAACTAACGGATACAAATACGCTGTCTCTTGTGAAAGTAATTGAGCATCGTTCGTTGCAAATTAAACTTTAATGACGTTAAAACATTTGTCTTGATTGATTCGCGCACTGTTGCAGTTTCCTGTAAAAAAAGCATCTTTTACGTAACTCAAAAAGTACAACAAAACAGACGAGATTAAAGACTCCATGGTAAATAACAGTATAATAGTGTTCGTAAATAAAAAAAATAACAATTCTATTAAACATTGCAATCGTACGACTTTGAGGAAAAGTTATTCCGTCGAACTATTCCATCGTCGTTATGCACATATACTACAAAAGGTGACAAGAGACCTTTTTCGGTCAAAATTGTTGTATTCAAGATGCTGCTGAAAAATTTTGGAGGAAATCTTCATAATTCGAGTTCAGGATATCCTCAAATATTACAGGACCTTCACATATCGATTACAGGATATCCTTAAATCGATTACAAAATATCCTTAAATCGAATTGTGAAGGTCCTGATATATTTCAAGATATCCTTAAATCGAATTGTGGAGGTCCTAATATAAATATTTCAAGATATCCTTAAATTGAATTGTGGAGGTCCTGACATAATTCAAGATATCCTTAAATTGAATTGTGGAGGTCCTGATTTATTTCAAGATATCCTTAAATCGAATTGTGGAGGTCCTTGTACTAGTATATGTATGTCAAGATATCCTTAAATTGAATTGTGGAGTCATCAATGATTTATGGATATCCTGAATTCGAATATTGAGGTTCTGAAAAAAATACTGTTGATGACTATTTTAAGGGAAAAAAATGGAAAATTGTACAAGTTAAATTTACATCCAAGAAAAATTTGCATGATTCCAAGTAGAAAATATTTCATGTTTATTCAGAAATAAGATTTAACATGAAAGACGTTGTCAACCGAACTTACAAATGTAATTTTTGTCTCACAGAGCATACCGAGTTTTAGCTTTTTGCAACAAAACATTCAAATCGATTGGCTTCATCCATCCTCTAAATCCAACAGCTCTCCCTCGTCCACTAGTTTCGATGACCATTTTAACACTACCGCGGGAAAATGTCATTAATATGTATGAGAAAAACATTTACAGTACAATTGAGGAATTGTAAGTTAATGGCAATGCAGGAACGTTCAAATATTCTTGTCGCATGCCATCCCGACTCCACGCTCCTGCATTGTAAATCACTTACAACTTCTGAATAGTACTGCAAATATAGCAGAGAGTTAGCAAAGCCATAAAGATTAGTCAAAACATCACATGCTTGCTGTAATGGAATGTTCTGATCCTCAAGGGATTCAAATTCATAGCTATAAGAAGATGCGGTATGAGTGCCAATGAGACAACTCTCCATCTAAGTCAAAATCTATAAAAGTAAACCATTATAGGTCAAAGTACGGTCTTCAACACGGAGCCTTGGCTCACACCGAACAGCAAGCTATAAAGGGCCCCAAAAATTACTAGTGTAAAACCATTCAAACGGGAAAACCAACGGTCTAATCTATATAAAAAACGAGAAACGAGAAACACTTATGAACCACATCAACAAACGACAACACGTCGTGGAGCTTTAAATCAGGTATGACAAAATCGCCATAATTATCGGTCTCGCCAATGTTTGTTCCTGTACAAGTCTGTAAAGATTCCGTTTGTATTTGTCGTGTATGAAAAGCAAGTCCAGATTATTTTAGCCTGTCAAATTTATTGTAATAACTTAATATATTAAAGGAAAACACAAAGACAACAGCAGTTTACCGATTATTTTAAGTCGTAAATTCATTTGGAATAGACCACTCAATTTACCAGTTTGTTCATATGATATAAAGCGTATCCTGCCATTCGGTAGTATTATGAGACACATATCAGAGAAAATAAGACCAAAAGTTTAATGGCGTTTAAAATGTTGCTTAAACTTATGTATTTGGAAATATATATTTCAAATATGTTTTCATCTGATATTGAACTGAAGATATTGTTGCCCTTTTAATTAATATGTGTAGGTACGATGGTTTGAAAACGATAAATAAACAGTCCCAGTGCATTTCCAAAGTTCAAATAGTTGTCACAAATCCTATTGAATACAATTATATGCCCATGATTCTGCTATGTTTGATACGAAATAAGATTAACGCCTTGTCAAAAATCACCAGCGTTATCTCAGGAACCACCTGCACAAACCCAGGACAAACCAACACAGAACCAGGACATTGATAAACTAAGAAAAATGCACATTTTCTAGAGATTGTTACTGTTTTTCGCAGTGTTAGTATTGCATGCGGATTTTGGTACATGAAACAGACTTCAGGGGGATTTTTTATTATGCTTTTTCCGTTATAGATGTTACGCATAGTGGAGCATTTTTTACAGAAGGAAATGCCTGTATCAAGTCAGGAATATGGCAGTTGTTTTCCATTCATTTGATGTCTTTGAGCTTTTGATTTTGCCTTTTTTTATAAAGGACTTTCCGTTTTGAATTTTCCTTTGAAATCGTTTTTTTTGTTATTTTCTTTTTTTGAGAAGGCCATGTTTTAGTTTCAGCTTATGAAACCATAACTTAGAAACTAATTTAAGATGTCTCAATTGTTACTTTAAATTTTGTTGTTTAAGAAACGTCAAGAATCATTATCACCAGCACCGATCAGGACTAAATCACCATTACCAAAAATGTATCACGCAAGACAACCTAAGTCATCTCAAAAATGTGCATCACAAAAGATCTGATTGTTCTACGTACTCAAATGTATACGATGTACATTATATAATTAACACATAGCTGAGAGGGTGATAGAGCAGATTGTTACCCCGAGAAAACATTGTCAACTGAGGCGAAGCCAAGGTTGACAATGTTTTTTCGCGGGGTACCAATCTGCTCTATCACCCTCTCAGCTATGTGTTATTTAATTTATTATACTGAATGTCCTATCATTATTGTCTTTTACTGTTGAATTTTAAATTTTAAGTATTTAACTATGACGTCACGTACATTACAACGTTACAGATAATAGAAAAATCAACAGAAGTGAAGCAAGATGGTCTATTTTCATTATTTTGACAGTCTATGAAAAAGTTCTGAGCCAAAACGTAAAATTCGAGCATTATCTTTAATTATTTTATGTAAATTCAATTTATTGTCATTTAAACTATCGGTTTTTGATTGGTCTGCACGAGAGGGTGACATTCAAAAAAAATTGTCTCCCGCTCAGCCATGGGATAAAGTAAATTGTCTCCCTCGTGTTAGCCAATAAAAATCTGGCATTTTAACGTGAAGTATAATAAAGTAAATTGTCTCCCTCGTATTAGCCAATCAAAATCTGGCATTTAAACGTGAAGTATAATAAAACTTATTGACGTGAACATAACGGCAGACGGTTTCTTATGTTTTCTTTTGAGTGATGTTTGTTTCACTGTACGTAGTTCATTATTTTCCGTCTTCGCGGTCCATTAGGTTGGAAACCGTTTCTTACTTTAATTGGTTACTTTGGTTTTGTATTCTAACACTTTACAGACACCCAGTCATTTATTGTGAGATAAGATAATGTTAACATCTTGAATAATGTGTATGTTTGAAAAAAATGATAACGCCACTTTATAAATTTCACGCGTCCGAAGTGCTTTTTTTTTTACCTTCACCAGGAACGCTCAAAGCCGAACATTTGATAGCAAAGGATGAATAAGAACTGAAACAGTTAAAGATAACGCCACTTTAATAATAGCCAAATCCATCTAAGATCAACTGGCTTGAGGTATAAGTGTGTGTGTGTGGGGGGGGGGGGTTGAGATCTCACTAAACAAGCTTAACCCCGCAGCATTTTTGCGCCTATCCCAGGTCGGGAACCTCTGGCCTTTGTTAGTCTTGTATGTTTTTGTATGTTTTTTAATTTTGGTTCTTTTATATGGTTCGGAGTTTAGTGTGACGTCCATTTTCGCTTAACTAGTACACATTTTTGTTAAGGTGCCAGCTGAAGCCCGCCTCCGGATGCGGGATTTTGTCGCAGTGTTGAAGACTTATTGGTGGCCATGGGCTGTTTTCTGCACTTTGGTCCGGTTGTTGTCCCTTTGACACATTACCCGTTTCCATTCTCAATTTTATTTGCTTCAGGGAGTTGAAATCTTAGTTTCTTGATGATAACTTATTTGTAAACAGACAGAAAGGTTTGTTATAAATCATGTCAGTACAGACTGCTTAGATGATGATACCCACGGTTACTGCTACTAACAGTGGTATCGACCCAGAGATGATACCCCCGGTTACTGTTACCAACAGTGGTATCGACCCAGAGATGATACCCCCGGTTACTGTTACCAACAGTGGTATCGACCCAGAGATAATACCCACGGTTACTGTTACCAACAGTGGTATCGACCCAGAGATGATACCCACGGTTACTGTTACCAACAGTGGTATCGACCCTGAGATGATACCCACGGTTACTGTTACCAACAGTGGTATCGATCCTGAGATAACACGCACCGATACCCTGAGATGTTACCCACGATTACTGTTGACAACAGTGGTACCGACCCTGAGATGATACCCACGGTTACTGTTACCAACAGTGGTACCGACCCAGAGATGATACCCCCGGTTACTGTTACCAACAGTGGTATCGACCCCGAGATGATACCCCCGGTTACTGTTACCAACAGTGGTATCGACCCAGAGATGATACCCACTGTTACTGTTACCAACAGTGGTATCGACCCTGAGATGATACCCACGGTTACTGTTACCAACAGTGGTATCGATCCTGAGATGATACCCACCGATACCCTGAGATGATACCTGTCAGTGACGTCGCCTTGGGCGGAAATACGTTAGTTGTATATAAAATGTAATGGCTGAACAGTTGTCTTTATACACATTGCCTAACTATCATCTATATTTATGGTACCGTGACCAATGGATCTCGAAAAATTGAAATCAGTTCGATCTGGGAACAGAAGCGCTGTTACCAGACTATTCCGCAGATTAGATGAAGCAAAGGAGAATACGAATTTCGATGAAGAAGAAGTCATTGCAACGCTCGGAAAACTTGTGCAAAAACAAACATTGTTTGAGGACTTAAATGAACAAATTCTTAAGTTAACAGAACCGGAAGATGTGGAAAATGAGATTATTGATTCAGATGAATATTCAGTGACTATGGAAACGAAGATTCGACACATACGTAAGTTCATACAAAATGTCCAAACCCCGCAGTCCCGTCATATTGAATCACATACTACAACTCACACGTTAAATCCAGAAACTATACCGTTTGTTCCAACGCACAACATAACCAACCCACACAACGCACAGTCCTTTGAAAACCCGTCTGTACAAGCCAGTCACACATTTAACACGCAACAAAGTACATTTTCGTCAACTAGTAATCAGAGTCACCGCCTACCAAAACTTTCGCTTCCAACCTTCTCAGGCAACATTTTAGAATGGCAAACTTTCTGGGACTCATATGAGTCGGCCGTACATCTTAATCTGTCACTTACAAATGTACAAAAATTTAATTACTTGAAAGCACAGCTAGAACATGAAGCACTAGGATCAATAGCAGGTTTCGCACTAACAAATGTAAACTACGATGAAGCCGTAAATTTGTTAAAAGAGAGGTTCGGTCAACAAGATAAAATCATAAATGCATACATGCAGGCATTATTAGAAATTCCTTCGCCTAGAAATCAGTTAACAAGCTTACGAAGTTTTTACGATAAAATGGAAGGTTACGTCAGGGGATTAGAAGCTTTGGGTCAAACACAGGAAACATACGGCACGTTACTTGTTCCCATTATTATGAACAAATTACCCGGGGAAGTCAGAAAACATCTCGCGCGAGAACACAGAACAAAAACTTGGGTATTACGGGACCTCCGTAAAAGCATATTAGACGAGATAGATATAATGGACGCAGGACAAGAGATAGAGTCAACACACAATTTGCCCACAACATCGTCTTTCTTTGCCGGAGCGAAATTGCCGAAGTCCAAATCTTACAAGAATATTGAGACTAGACCTTGCGTTTTCTGTCACGAAATACACGCACCTACCCATTGCAGTAAAATAACCGACACAGAATCCCGTATGAACATAGTAAAACGTGATAAGTTATGCTTTACATTTTAATTACCTTGGTAAACACAGACTAAACGAATGTAAATCTAAACACACATGTAGACATTGTAATAAGAAACACCATACAAGCTTGTGTAATGTACGTCTAACAAATAGCATAAAACCAGTCCATGAGGTAAGCCATAGAAACGGGGGTAGTAACTCAGCACATACGAATTTCCGCGCGAAAGATAATCAGAGCAGCAACCCGCAAAACCCACCATCTTCAAATTCGACAAACGTTCACCTCGTAAATGATAGTCATACAACGGAACAAGATACTACCATTTTGTATTCACAATCGACAGAATCGCGATCAAATGTACTTTTGAAAACCGCCGTAGCACAAGTAGGGTCGAATCAGCTCTACACCGAGACAAACATTCTTTTTGACGAAGGAGCGCAAAGATCGTTTTTAACGCAGAACTTAGCGAATAAACTCAACTTACAGATAGAGGGAACAGAGATAATACATTTATCGGCATTTGGAGGTGAAGAGAAAAACGCGAGACACCTAGAAAAGACAACAATCTATCTGAAAACCGATGCAGGACACGTATTGCCAATCAAAGTACTGATAGTACCGATGATAGCCATGCCTCTACAGAATCACATACGTAATATTGATACACAAAATGGTTATTTGCGTGGTTTAAAGTTAGCGCACACGATGACACAGCAAGATTCATTCGAAATATCGTTGTTAGTAGGCGCAGATCACTATTGGGACATTGTAGAAGACCATATTGTACGGGGAAACGGTCCGACCGCCGTGAAATCCAAGATCGGATATTTGCTTTCGGGACCTATATACGGTAAGAAAACTAACACGTCGAAAACTAGCATATTTAATGTTCTAATATCACACAAAGTTGAAGAATACAATCTAGAGAGATTTTGGAATTTAGAATCAATAGGAATAAATAGTAAGGAGGTAGACGAAGACGGTGATGCATATATTAAAGCCTATCAGGACAGATCAATTGAGTTCCGAGAAAATAAATATTTCGCTAGGTTACCATGGAAACAGGATCATGATGAATTGCCTACAAATTTAGCAGTCACGAAGAGAAGGACAGAAAACGTCATTAAAAGACTTACTCAAAACCCAGATATGTTAAAGAAGTACGGGAACATCATACAAGAACAGGAACGTAGGGGATTCATAGAGAATGTGGATGAAACAGCAGAAACTTCAGAAAAACTACACTACATTCCTCATCATCCAGTACAGAAGGAATCAAGCACTACGCCTATCAGAATTGTTTACGACTGCAGTTGTCGCCAGTCGCCTAATTCGCAAAGCTTGAATGACTGCCTCTTGGATACACCGCCGAAGCTAAACGACCTGACAAAAATTCTGATGAGATTTAGAGCCAACCCTGTCGCCATAACAACGGATATTGAGAAAGCCTTTTTACATGTAGGATTAAACGAGGATGACCGAGACGCTACACGTTTCTTGTGGCTAAGTAACCCATCCGACCCAACAAGTTATTTACAGACTTACAGGTTCAAATCCGTTTTTTTTGGAGCGACTTGTTCACCGTTTATACTAAACGCCACAATACTGAAACATTTACAACGTTACAACAGTAAAACAGCTACATTGATGGAAAGAGACTTGTACGTGGACAACATTCTGACAAGTTTACAGAACGAGGATGAGGCTGATACGTATTATAAGGAAGCGAGAACAATGATGAAAGACGCCGGATTCAACCTACGATCGTGGACGTCAAACAGTCAGAATATACGCAAGCTAGCCAAGACGGAAAATGTACTAGATATGGACATAAACACAAAAGTACTTGGTATGTTATGGAATAGCAAATCCGATGATCTGATGTACCAGAAATGTGATATTCCAATACGAGACATTGTAACAAAAAGGGAGATTTTGAAACATTCGTCGAAAATATACGATCCACTTGGAATAATCAGCCCGGTAACAATAAGAGCAAAGACACTAATACAGGATCTATGGAAAAGTGGACTGGATTGGGATGAACAAGTTCCCGAAAACTTTAAGGCTACTTGGATTAATGTAGCAAGCGACTTAGAGAAAGCGAAACAAATCGTCTTTCCGAGATATTATTTCTCCGGTAATTCTACTTCGGAACAACTTGAACTACACGTATTTTGCGATGCCAGTCCAAAGGCGTATGGAGCGACCGCATATCTGAACAACGGAACCGAAACTGCGTTACTGATGGCAAAAAGCAGAGTAGCGCCAGTGAAAAACCTAACATTACCGCAACTAGAACTTATGGCCGCAGTTATTGGAACTAGACTAGCGTCACATGTACAATCGACTTTCGAATGTAAAAACGTGGTTTTCTGGTCGGATAGCTGCATAGTATTGCACTGGTTAAAATCATCGAAACCGTTAAAACGATTTATAGCGAATCGAGTGAGAGAAATAACGGAATCTACAAATCAACATGAATGGAGATATTGTCCAACAGAATGCAATCCAGCCGATCTCTTAACACGAGGAATTAACGCCGATCAATACATCGATAGTGTCATTTGGAAAAAAGGACCAAATTGGTTAACGGATCGCACAAAATGGCCAGAAATAACTCCCACAAGTAAAATGGTAATGACAATTACAGGAGAAAACGACGAAGAGAAATTTCTAAACAATGAAGTTCATACTGATCACTATGGTATTAGTAACGTTATAGACATTTCGAAATATGGGACTTTCAGGAAATTGATTCGAGTAACCGCTTACGTTCAGCGGTTCATATCTAAATGCCTATATACCAAACATCGGAGAAAAGGTGGAATTTTGACGACATATGATATAAATACCGCGGTGCGTTCATGGATATTAGATTGCCAAGAATCTTCATATTCAGCCGAAATAAAAAGTTTAAAGGACACACGAAATAAAAACACAATGAAATTTCCAAGAATAAGACAATTAGGACTCTTCATAGATGACGATGGTCTTGTGAGATGCAATGGAAGAATTCACAATGCACCGATTTCAGAGAATACCAAATTTCCGTACCTTATACCTGCGAATCATCCACTTACCAAACTGATTGTGATAGACGCACACGAACGTTCACTCCATTCTGGACTTAATGCTACGCTAACTTTTGTACGACAATCGTATTGGGTACCGACACTTCGACAATTTATTAAGAAGTTATTGAATAAGTGTGTAACTTGCCGCAAAGTTATGGGAAAATCTTACAGCAAACCGGACCCGCCACCGCTTCCGAAAATAAGAGTACAGGAAGCCTCGCCATTTACCGTCACAGGGGTCGATTATACAGGCGCTTTATACGTAAGGGATCAAGAAGGAACTTTAAAGAAAGCGTATATATGCTTATTTACGTGCGCATCGACTAGAGCAGTTCATCTCGAAGTAGTTCCAAACATGAGCGAACATTCATTTATTCAGGCATTTCGACGCTTTGTTAGCCGTAAATCTCTGCCTAAAATTCTAGTATCTGACAATGCATCTACATTCATTGCAGGATCTGAGGAAATAAAAAGATTATGTGAATCGGATATAGTAAAAGATACTTTATCAACACACGGTGTAGAGTGGAGATTCATACCGAAACGTGCACCATGGTATGGTGGATTCTGGGAGCGCTTGATTGCTCTTACGAAGACAAGTTTGAAAAAAGTGCTTGGACGATCGCAAGTTAACATGGAAACATTACAAACAATTGTTGCGGAAATAGAAACTATCTTAAACGACAGACCGCTTACTTATCCATCGTCCGATATCAAAGACTGTGAAGCTTTAACACCGTCTCATCTACTATACGGAAGGCGCATTTCAACATTACCGTACCCACAACCAGAAATCGATAACATCACCGACCCGACTTACATGGGACATTACGATCTTAATAAAAGTGTACAAAGACAAACGCAATTGATTCAACATTTCTGGAAAAGATGGAAATCCGAATACCTTACGTCGTTACGTGAATTTCATAGAACTACCGGAAAAAATGAACAATTAATAAATACAGGAGACATCGTGCAAATTCACAACGAATCTCCGCGTATAAACTGGAAAATTGGGATCGTAACCGAACTGGCGAGAGGTAACGACGGACTTGTAAGATCTGCACGAATAAGAACCAACAATGGGGAAACAACTAGACCGATCGCAAAATTATATCCATTAGAAGTTACACAAACGATGACAAACAATTCTAACGTTCCAATAGATGATCAGCAGGAAAATATGGAGAACAGACCGAGACGAAAAGCAAGTCTTAAAGCCCGTGAGACCATACGGAAGTGGATACACCAATGATGTTAAAGACGACCATTAGTGATGTAATTGATAGACAATTACGCGTTTTAGTGCAAAGTTGAATTTTATTCTTATTTCATGAGTGACATTAATTGAATTTAATTGCTAAATGTAATTTCCGTTTTAAATGATTACATGTACTCAAGATTTCAAAGAAAAACACAACGCGAGAGACAATTTCAAAGTATTATTATTTATTGATGGACAGTAATTTATCAGTGAAACGATTGATCAATGGATAATTGAGATTATTTAGAAAATTGTGATATTTTTTACTTTTCGCGGCCCCAGTATGTTGAGATTGTCGCGGGAACATAACGTTCGTACTATTGTACTTGTCCATTGTCGACGTCGTATTGTCAGTGACGTCGCCTTGGGCGGAAATACGTTAGTTGTATATAAAATGTAATGGCTGAACAGTTGTCTTTATACACATTGCCTAACTATCATCTATAATACCCACGATTACTGTTAACAACAGTGGTATCGACTCTGAGATGATACCCCCGGTTACTGTTACCAACATTGGTATCGTCCCAGAGATGATACCCCCGGTTACTGTTACCAACAGTGGTATCGACCCTGAGATGATACCCACGGTTACTGTTACCAACAGTGGTATCGACCCTGAGATGATACCCCCGGTTACTGTTACCAACAGTGGTATCGACCCAGAGATGATACCCACGGCTACTGTTACCAACAGTGGTATCGACCCTGAGATGATACCCACGGTTACTGTTACCAACAGTGGTATCGACCCAGAGATGATACCCACGGTTACTGTTACCAACAGTGGTATCGACCTAGAGATGATACCCACGGTTACTGTTACCAACAGTGGTATCGACCCTGAGATGATACCCCCGGTTACTGTTACCAACAGTGATATCGACCCAGAGATGATACCCACGGTTACTGTTACCAACAGTGGTATCGACCCTGAGATGATACCCACGGTTACTGTTACCAACAGTGGTATCGACCCAGAGATGATACCCACGGTTACTGTTACCAACAGTGGTATCGACCCAGAGATGGCAAACTGCAAATGCATGTGCTCACAGAAACATGTCTTGCTTTTGAACATCGTCTATATACTAAATGGTTATATGAAAATGTTCTAACTGTGATGTTGGTGCATATAAACTTAACCTGTATTTATTAACTTAATCGGTATCGATTTATCTTTTGGAGACAAACACTAATGCTCTATCTACTCATGTACACACATCATACATGGAGGGAACATTGATAGAAAACCGGTTTACTTTCAGTTATGCCTTGATCACATATGAAATTAATTTGCTAACAAATGATTTAAAAATATCAGTAATTGTGTTCATTCTTTTTTTGTCGAGCCTTCGACTTTTGTCGAAAAAGTGAGACATAGCGATCCTACATTCCGTCGGCGTCGTCGTCGTCGTCGTCGTCGTCGGCGGCGTCCACAAATATTCACTCTGTGGTTAAAGTTTTTGAAATTTTAATAACTTTCTTAAACTATCCTGGATTTCTACCAAACTTGGACAGAAGCTTGTTTATGATCATAAGATTATATTCAAAAGTAAATTTTGTAAAAAAAAAATTCCATTTTTTCTGTATTTTACTTATAAGTGGACTTAGTTTTTCTGCCAGTTAACATTACATTCACTCTGTGGTTAAAGTTTTTAAAATTTCAATAACTTTCTTAAACTATCCTAGATTTCTACCAAACTTGGAAAGAAGCTTGTTTATGATCATAAGATAGTATCCAGAAGTAAATTTTGTAAAAAAAAAATTCCATTTTTCCATATTTTACTTATAAATGGACTTAGTTTTTCTGCCAGGAAACATTACATTCACTCTGTGGTTAAAGTTTTTGAAATTTTAATAACTTTCTTAAACTATCCTAGATTTATACCAAACTTGGAAAGAAGCTCGTTTATGATCATAAGATAGTATCCAGAAGTAAATTTTGTAAAAAAAAAATTCCATTTTTCCGTATTTTACTTATAAATGGACTTAGTTTTTCTGCCAGTTAACATTACATTCACTCTGTGGTTAAAGTTTTTAAAATTTTAACAACTTTCTTAAACTATCCTGGATTTGTTCCACACTTGGACAGAAGCTTGTTTATGATCAAAAGCTAGTATCTAGAAGGAAATTTTGATAAAATTTTGTTCCATTTTTTCTGTATTTTACTTATAAATGGACTTAGTTTTTCTTCCAGTCAACATTACATACATTCTGCAGTTTAAGTTTTTAAAACATTTATTAGATTCATAAATTATCCTGGATTTTTACCAAACTTGGACAGAAGCTACTTACAATCAAAACATAGTATAGAGGGGAATATTTTTATTAATTTTTTTCCTCATTTTTGTTGAGCCTGCGATTAACACCAAAAGTAGGCGAGACACTGGGTTCCGCGGAACCCTTACGAATTTTTTAGTATTAAGTGGGGAATATGGTGTCAGACCACCAATTCAAAATCCCTATCTTTTCAACCAAATTTTGCAATTTTCACAGCCTTCTTAATATTTTACCTTAAGTTTAACTTCATAGAAACCGGTATATCCTGGATTGTACATGTATCACCTTTCTACATGCTAATTTTACACCCATGTTTAAAGTCTTCTGAGAAAGAACTGCCTTTCGGAAGACAATTACTACTAAAAATAACCCCTGGTTTTCTGGAAATCTAAAATTAGTACACTATGGAGCGCATTTATCCTCAATTTTTAATGCAAACTCATAGACAAGTAAATTTTGGCTAAAAATGGTCTAAATATATTTCTCTTTCACCAAAAGTTTCATTTCTGCAAATTTGTTGGTTAGTTTAAGAAAACAATGACACCAAAAGCATTATTTTGTGTCATAGTAGGGCTACTTTTACATACGTTCTAAATTGGAGGGAGTGAATTTGTGGACTGACACCAATATGGAACAAACCAAAACATTCCATAGACTGTGTTATGCTAGAGAGAAGTTGCAAACATTACAGTTAAGTGATTAAATGTAATCCTCATCAAAAGCAACGAAAACGGACACTAAACCTGGTATTTTATGGAGTTCGTGTTACTCAGACTTGTTTATCCATTTTCGTTTACAGTTATGTAAAAATAAAGATATGATTTTTTACTCAAAATTATATGATGTATTAGGTGAGCCATTAAAATAACATGAGAGAAACCTTGTAAATTTATCAAACATTTCAGTTTTGTGACTATTGTTATATGGTTTTTTTTATCTAATAAAGACGTGTATGATGCGGAAGATCCTAATGATTGGTGGCCAGTTGACAGGGCGGGGGCTAGAGACATAGTTAGATTCAATAGTTTGTTCAACTCGAAGCAAATAATACAAATATAAATTAAAACACGGAAGTATATGCCATTGTTAAAGAAAATTATGAGAAATCATATGAAATAAACGCCATAAATATATGTTCATAATAATAAAACATGAAGCTATTAACATATTGCATAAATGAATTAGTATTTTTTCTGAAATATGAATCTCGTGCACACATGTTTTCTTTCTGTCAGAAGACTAAAAGTTTGAAAAGCCAAATATATAAGACGTTTTTCAATTTCACATTTTTTAATCATATGATACATTTAAACAATATTACAGTAATAATCATTGATAACATATATCCCCGTCATTTTAACTCTGGTGGATAGTTGTTTCATTAACAATCATATCACATATTATTTTATATAGTTCTTGTTGTGTCTTTCAATAATGGAAGCGTTAAAGGTACTGAATGACAAGCAACTTTTTATGTATTCAAAAAAGTGCTTATACTATAACAATAACTGGATTTTTTATTATCAAAGATCCACTGCAAGGAATCGGGATTGTAGCTATGACAACACATTAATGGTCATCTGTGACATAGATATTCCATAACAATAGCTGATATCAAGATTGGGTACGAACATCTTTTGAAAAAAGTATAACAAAAATACCGAACTCCAAGGCAAATTTAATAGGGGGAGTCCATGCATAAAAACTGAAAAAATCAAACGTTATCAACCAATGGAACGAGTGAAAAACAACTGCCATATTCCTGACTTGGTTCAGGCATTGTCCAATGAAAACGGTGAGTTATACCTTGTTTTTTAGCTAGGTAAACCTCTCACTTGTATGACAGTTGTTTCTAGATCCATTATATTGACCCAAACAGACATAATAATGTGACAAAAATTCGTATCCAGCTGCCAATCATTGTGTAAACTTACATCACAGACATACAACACGACTGACTAAAAAAAATCAAACAAACATTAGAATAAATATAACAAAGACGCCAACATAAAAGTTGCTGTAGTTATAAATAGAGAATACCATATGGCTTTTTCAATATCACATCCGTATCAACCCGAGACACCAATATAATCCCAAGAGCTCTGCTCGAGGGATTATATTGGTTGAGGGTTGATACGGTGTGTGATATTGAAAAAGCCATATCATATACACTTTATTATATACATATACCTCACGTAGATGTTTTTAATGTGACATGACGTCATACAGATAAGGAGGTTTGAAATGACGTCATACAGATTATAGGTTTGACCTGACGTCATACAGATAAGTAAAGCCTTTGCAACAGTGACTGCAATCGATGACGTGACGTCATACAGATTAAAGGTGTGATAAAGCCTTTGCAACCGTGCTGATATCGATATCATCACGGGTGGCTGATACAGCACGCTTGCCAATGATTGTATTACACATACAGTTTATCTGTATTTACTACTAAGTATATAATAAATAGTAAATATGACAAAGACGCAGGTAAGCCCAAAGTCAAAAACCTAATAATGGGATGCATAAATAACGAGTCACGTCAACATTCATACGACCAAAAGAAACATTATGGCACGAATACAAACAAAAGGAGTTTTAACTATAAAGTAAATAAAAAGATACACAACTTCTGCACGTAGAATCTTTAACGCAAGACCATCTTGAATTCTTTGTAAAGTAGACGCTGAATATTGTCTATTATGTCTTGGTACTTTCCGATGTACTTTGTGAGAAAAAACGGACGAGACGTTTTTTGACAAAACCCTGACTCAGTTTATTTTTCCTCAGACACCGATGACGTTTTACAAAGTCTGAATAGCAGCTGCATGCTCTTGAATATCGGATTAGTTGAGAAATGTATACTCCCTACGCGGATGGAGTTGGTATATTGCTGCTAATGCGAGGGAAATTTATAATTTCAAAATTGAAATCGTCTCGTTTGTCATAAATTCTGGTACTGAGATGGCCGCTGTTGTCAAATTCGAGGTAAATGTGTAGAAATGAGGCGGAGGAAGCTGTGTCTGTGGTTTCTTTAATATCTATTTCTTGAGGATATATTAATGGGACCCAATCAGAAAAGTTAGGACTGTTAATGGAAAGAACATCATCAATATACCTTTAGGCGAAATTAATTGATCTAGCTTCTTTGATCTTCTAGTTTTTTATAAATTTATGAAGGAACTCCGACTCATATGAAAATAAGAAAAGGTCTGCCAGGTGAGGTGCACAGTTGGTTCCCATATGAATGCCGACAACCTGCTGAAAAATTCTACTTCCAAATTCAACAAATATGTTATCAATGAGAAATTCAGCAAACTGATCATTTGTTCCTCGGTGTAGCATGTTTTATTTTAGTGTTCATGTTTAACAAAATATGCAGCAGAATTATATCACAAAACAATAAATTTGTAGCGTATGGTACCATTTTTATGTAAACGACTTCAATTCTATCATTAGAATCCTTGATTCAATAGCTTTTTTGTGATTAGCAACCCTTTATCAAGAGTGTCATGAAAGAATCTGCAAGCTCCTAGAATATCTTAACAACTGGAAGATACACACTCCAATTGTAGGTGCTCCTTTAGTTTTACTACATAAATTGGAAAGTTCACAGATGGGAAATTGAAATATTCTGCGTAGTCGTAAAGGTTAGTTCTTTACAGACCCTCACCCCAAATTCTAGATGTAAGTCAGGATCTGAAGCAGACTGAACTATATCTGTATTATCCACTTTATTTCAAGTTCCATTTGGATAGATGCGATAAACACGGTCCACAGTTATAATTATTAGTGCAAGGACATTATCCTTAATGCGGAACTTTAATGTTTGTGTTTTTAAATTCTTCATAATTCTCCATAAGAAGCTCTTGTATGAAGTCTGTCTGAATAAAGGAAAAGTCTACAGGAACAGGAGCACAGTTGATTCCCATAGGAATTCCGACTGTCTGTTGAAAACACGTCCACCAAACCAAAAAATGTTGTCAATTAAAAAATCAATGATGATGTCATTTTTCAGAGAGTTTGTTGTTGGAAGCAGAGGGCATTTTTCCAAATTATGTGTTGTCCCTTCCTTGTACAAGATAGCTGAAAGTTTGGTATTTTTTTTATGAAACAAAGATGGACGTAGAATTTTGATCTACTGTTGCCTCTTATATTTCAATCTGCTTAAGTTTAGAATCAGGTTAGATCAACACAATTTATTTCAGAAGATACAACTAGGAAAACTAAAGCAAAAGCAACACGAATCTCTTTAAAAAAATACTTGACGTCATGTTGCTCCAGAAGGGTTAGCATTTCCTACTACATCAGTAATACCCCTATTGTATTTTCCAAAACAAGTAAACCCCGTTGGTACTTCGCATTCGGGGAATTCCTACACAAGGAGAGCAGGTTGTGATTGCAAATGTGACGAATAGAACATATCGGAGGTATCTGGGATATTTCGTTACTGTCAACCAAATTATGATGATATCTGTAAAACTTTCAGAGAGAAAATAAAAGAATATTTTCACTTTTAAAACTATATCATTTTTATAGTGTTCGTTTGTAAGTACAAGGATCTAATTAAATTTTAATCACAATTTTTCCTTGAGCAATGACAATGATTGATCATTTTGTCGGTTATGTAATCAAAGAAAACATGAAATCAAGCTATCAAACTATCAGAAAGTACTCTCCTCTAAACTAAGTGAATATCGATCGAATTCTTGTCCACTCATTTTAATGTGGTTAGTATGAATTAGATGATCCCATGAAACAGTTTTTATTGAAAATGCTTGATATAGTTGATATCGGGTATATGGCGAAAATTTAAAAAAAAGATACCAAGTTGATGATTATATACTTTCTATGTTGTTTGTCTATTTGTCTTTGTCTTTTTTAGCCATGGTGTTGTCAGTTTATTCTCGACTTATGAGTTTGAATGTCCCTTTGGTATCCTTCGCCTCTCTTTTTATACTAAAAATGTCAATATTTTGCTACATTATTCAAAGAACATAATGAACATACTTTAAAAAAAAAATATCTTCAGCGTGAATTAGCATACATTGTACGCAAATGTAACAATATTATTAGTCCCATATTTCCAGTGAGAATGTTAACAATCGTCAAATACCCAAATATAATGAGCGGAAAGAGTGTCGGAACGAACTGCTGTTTTTCCTGTGTAACATTGCAAGTTTCTCCGATGAAGGGAAATATATATATGGATGCTGAATCCAATTATTTAGACGGCATACTTGTAAAAGGATCAATCATATGAATATATGAGTCTTATATATTCCTGATGTTACTATAAATCACATTTTATTAGTCGATTTAGCTGTTTTTGAAAAGTAGTTTTACAAAAGTGTTTTTTGGTTTACAGTTCTCTAATGTAGGTTTAAGTTTAAATTATCTTTCTTGTTCTGAGTTAATCAGATCCTACAGCATTCCATTTCTTGGAGAAAGATAAATTATTCTTCTGTAATCTTCACGTTAATGAGAGCTGGCAAACTTTATTGCGGAATGACAATGTTATAAGCCATAAAATTTCACATCATTCGAAAGCATGTCATCTTTGCTACCTTTTTGTCAGGTCGTAAAGTATTTGTACTGTGCAATTTTCGTCAAATTAAGGTCAAAGCAATGTTCTTGTTTTTCAAGTCATCAGCATTTTGTTATATTCTGGCATCTTAATAATAAAATTATGTATGGTATTAATGATAACTTTAAAAACAGGGATTAAAAGGTACTTATCAAACACACTTTAAAATATAAATGACGTATTTTTTTTACAAAACCTCTTTTGACATGCATATTCAGGATGAGGACATTTTAATGCGATATGAGTATGAACCCTGCTTTGTACCAGACCGAGACGCTTGAACCGGATGTTAACGTGCTAGTTCACAAGGTAACAGTTATCAGGAAGACATGTCAACCTACCTGGAAACATTATTCTGAATCAGAGCCGACCAGTCTTTGCTCTTATTCCTTCATTTCGCGTGCTTAACGGAGAAGCAGCAAATACCAATTTTAAAGTCTTTCGTCTGACCCGGCCAGGGTTCTAATCCACGACCTCCCGCACACGACTTTGACGCGGACACGCTCCACGAGACCGAGGCGGGTTCTACATTAGAACAGTGTATGTAGTCATCATCAATTGACAGTCTCGTCCGAAAGTTCAAATTGTCGTAACCACAATTTAATCACGTTCTTCTTTCCTAGTTTGTCCTATAACAAACTGCCTATTAACAGCCGATTTTTACTTACAATGAGTATACCGATGGGTTTAAGGGGATAACCATCTGAACCTCTTGTTCCGCCCCCAGAAATTCAATTAGAGGAACTACCACTGATAAGTCTTATGTAGACTTCCAGTGTACCAAATTATAAGCCTAGTATATTTTTTATGCATCCGGATCACATGAGCACACCCCAGTTTTAGTGGGGTTGGTGTTGCTCAATCAGTATACCTTTCTTGATAGTGTTTATAAGACTGTTAGTGTTTGTCTGTTTTTCTTCGACTAATGTTTTGTATTGACTGTTCTAGAATATTCTAAGACTGGTTCGTTATTTTTTTTTTTATTGTAAGAAAATAACTCCAAGGTTGGACTAGGATACTTTAACGAATACCTGGACTCCCCCTCCGGTAGGAAAATCCATGTCGAGGGGCATTTCTTCGGATATGTAGAATATACCTATAAGTACACAAGTCCGGGCATTATTTCAGCTGGTATCTCGTGAAGGGAGAGAACACGTTAAAGGGATATGCACAAGATATTTGCCTATAAACATTAACAAACATCAATAAATAATAAATCCATTCTAAAATAATCTGTCGGTAAATTTGGATGTAACCGTTTTCCCTGTTTAG